GTTTTGTCTGAGGAGGGCATGCTGAAGAGAGCACAGAAAAGGCAACCTCTTTGTAAGTGTTCTTGCATTGCCTGATTAATAGAACCTTGATAAACATCGCACGTGTACACTTCTATTGAATGTTAAAGGTCTGTAAGGCACCATTCAAAGACCACGGAGATACCATTTAAGGTTAGTTAAGGATGGACATGTGTCTGTTTTCATCACTCAAGGTGTGATACAGCTATGTGGTAAATCTGGGGTTAAAACAGATTAATTTAGGGACATAAAAAGTGCAGCAACTTAGATCAGCTGGTAAAGTGGGTTACAGAGTAGAAAATCACAGAGGAAGGTCAGAGGTGAGTACAGAGGACAAGGCATGAGCTGGGTGGTACGGAGGAATGGAAAAGGCGAGGAAAAAATTGAGCCCTGCCTTCAAGTGACAGAGACACCATGTACCTCATATGTTGTCAAGAGCGCATGGAAGTGAGGTTGCTCTTTCAGGTTCTGCTGCAGTTTGGGTCGTTCCTCCTTGCTCCCTACATATGTCAAAAAGGAAAGACCTGGAGCAAACCTGTTGTCAAGAGAAAGACAGAGAAAAAACAGTGAGCCAAGCTAAGTCTCTCAGGTGTTTATGACCCTGGACCCCATTATCAAACATAGCTACTACACGGATAATGAGAACCTACTATCCAAACACCCTACCCTCCTGTGAGATGTGGCTGGACCTCAGCTTCTGAATCTAACCCCTTTCTGATTAATTTGCAGCTCAGGTTGGCACCTCAGCTGCTGGTTCTCATGGCTCATCTGTTCTTCTGAACTGAAAAAGCTCATGAGGAGCAGGTGAATGGACACAGTTTGCCCAGACCAAAGAATTGGCCTAAATCATGTTAAAATAAAGGCAAACAATGTCTGTAGCAAACAAGTCCAAGTCACGGCCTCAAAAATCTATCCTCTTAGTCAAAAAGCAGCTAAAACCAGTGGATGAAGAGCTGGGATCATAGAAATCTTCCTCATTTAATCCCATCACTGATATTTGCCTCACGTTCCTCCCAGACAGCTGTTTACTGCTGATCTATGAAAGGATGCACTTTCCTCCAATTATTCCAACTGCAGCCTATCCAAATCAGGCCAGCTCACTTCAGGATGTAACCGGGATGACTTCAAATGCTGAGAGACAGCATTGCCCGACAGCCACACAGACAGACCTCTGTTCTAAGCTTTAACTTTCTGCCCTTCCTCTTAGAAGGAATCTTTGGGCTCCAGCTTAAAAATGTATAAATTCTGGGCGTAGCAGGTGTGCCATCAGCACAGTCACTGCATGCCGGTGAAGACGGGTGGCATGCACAGATGTATTTTGCATGCACACGTGAGCATGCCAAGAAAGATACTATTCAACTTGGATCTTACCTTTCATCATACAGAATCCTGGCTGTCTTCAGCAGATTTTGCCTAAGAGAGGCTGAGCATGAAGGGTTACAAAATCAATAAAAAGCAAGGAGCTAGTGGGGGCATTTGGACTGAAAGTCAGCCAATACTGTAAGTCGGATGAATTCACGTATACCACAGCATTGTAAAGACTATGCATTAACTGCATAGCTTGCATTGATTTGTTGGTTTAGTAGCTTCCCTTTTTACTGGTTTTTTTTTTCTTTTAAAAGGAAGAAGACTGTTGGACCGAGCACAGTTGAAGAGAATCTTTGTAACTCACTGTGCAAGAACATGATAAGCCAGACAACTGTTGAAACTTACCTCTCCAGTTCCTCCTTCCAGTTGCTCAGCACGGACAGAGGACAGAGTATCAGAAATCTCTGTTTGTTTGTTAATTTTTTTGTCAAATAAAGAAGTAGAGAAATAGTCTAGAAGGCAAGGAAAATATTTTTGTTTATAACAAGGAAAGGGTTCAACCCAATAGCCTGAACCTACATAAACTGTGTCCTTGTTGAGCTTTGCAGCTAGTTCCCGCAGTTTCTCTAGCACAAAGCAGAGCTAATAGACTATCAAATGAGATCCACCATCAATGACAAAAAAGCTTGGATCCCAAAACATCATCTCAATATCCCGAACCCCTTTCCAAAGACCCTTCTCCTACAGTCACAAATAAGATGATCTACCATACATCACCTTCTAAAACTACCAGTCTGTTATTTAAGACCCACTGAATACAACCAGCTGAACCAAAGCACAGTCGTTTTCCAACAAAACTGAAACTCACTGAAAAATTTACCAAAAAACAACAAGCTCTGAAAAATTTACACCTGTAACCTTTAATCCATGTATTGACAGACTCAAAAATCATGTTGCTGCAGGTGCAAACGACATCATCCTCTCTGCACTGTCTGTGTACTGTGCCTTCAACTCTGCACTCTGAATTTTGCATTAAGGTGTCTGCATTAAATGACCACTTCAGGTTTTACAAAACCTTAAAGCATTTTTAGTGTTACTGAGGACTTAACAGTTGGTTTAAGTGATTAAGAAATGAAAGAAACAATAATCTCTCTCTTTTCAGCATGGACTTCAGGATGGGGCTGCTTATCTAACCAACCATTAGGGTACTTCTTAATTCTGCAGAAACATTGGGCTAAAAAAAAAAAGATAAGGCAAAGACCATTTTCCAGAAGAAAAACAAGAAGACACACCTGACAAGTCTTCCCAAGACCCATCTCATCACCCAGGATACAGCCATGCTGGGCTTCGTAGCATTGCACCAGCCAGTTTACACCTTCTATTTGATATGGGCGAAGCTTAATGCCTGGGAATAAAAGCAATTTGTTACATTTGCACAGCCATCCAATACGCTCTATACACAGCTACACCTGGAAGCCACCAGAAACAGGTCCCACCCAGAACAGGCCTTTCCAAACATCTGCCTCTCGGGAAAAGCACACCAGTTTCCAGCAGCAGCTGGTTTATGCCACTGGAGAGCGGAAACACCGGTGTTACAGAAAATCCGTTAAACTCAACCATATCCAGGAACTTGCACACACAAAAATGCCCCAGGTCACTACGAGGGCCTGTACAAGGAACCTAATCCGATAATTAAGCAGCTGCTTTGCATTCCTAATGGCCAGCTTGATTTTCAGCTCCAGCCACTTTTTTAAATATGTAAGTACTTTTTTAAATATGTAAGTAACCAGGGACACGCTTTAGGCTACCAGAAACATTTGTAACATCCTTCTGCTGTATAATAAATACTCCTCAGCAAGATGCTTTCCAGCTTCCCCGCGCTCCAGCGAGGGCAGAGCTCAGGCGCAGGTCGCTTTAGCTACTGCTCCCACCGTTATCCTGGCGATGGGGCAGAACACGCCCAAGCAGCCAGGAGCCAAGCCGCGCAGCAGCTCTCAGGGCCCCT